GAAATGCAGCAAACAAAACAGGCGTGTAATTGTGCCTATAGATGAGGAGTGCGGATTTTATATACCCTACAATTACTTTGACAGCCATATGCTATAAAACAATCTTTATCTAGCTAAGGTGCTTGTAAGTAGGTGATCACAAATAAAGATAGAAAAAAAAATAATAATACATGTCGAACATGACAATTAAACACAATAAAAGATGTACTCACAAGGACAACCACTTACAGCTAAAACAAACATACGTGGTCGCATGTTAGCTGAATCAACAGGTATATCTGCTTCTGAAGACATATTTTATCGTATTCATTATATTTTTACACCATTTTCCAAGTGATCACAATGACTCTTGTTCTCCCTTCTTACCGATCCACTTATCACCACCTTTTTGTTTAACACTCACAAACATGCAGCAACTTTGCAGAATTTAAATGAACCTGGTTTACATTTTCTGACTTCTTATATTATGGGACAAGATTGAAATAGGTCCTAGGATAATCGATACGCAAGTGTCACCTGCATTTATTTTTTTATATATATTTGTCCACGTAAACAGCCAGCAAATGAGAGGCCTAGTCTGGGCATCAAGTAGCCTCTAGCACATTTAAGAGACATAATAGCACATTTGGACGATGCCTTTCCACCCATCACTGGCCAATTCTTGTGTCACATAACAGCCAGCTTAAAACCAGCCCCAGAGAAAATACCTACGAGTACAAGCTACTCCATAGCTTTCAGTGGTTATACAGATAAAGCTTCCCTCGTTCTATTATTTACTTGTCAAATAAGTGTCATATTCAGAAAAATTGTTGGAACAACTATTTGAAAGTTAATATGTTGCCATCCTAGCTCAATCAAAAGATACAGAACTACATGCATTGAAAACAGAATTGTGAAATTTAGGCTGAATGAGGAAAAAATCTCCAATTATAGCCACTTTAGCTTATATATTTTGTAATAACCTTTTCACTAATATTTATAATGATCTAGGCGCAGGGGTAGGCAACCTTCGGCACTCCAGATGTTTTAGACTACATCTCCCATAATGCTCTTACAGCCACAATGCTTGCAAAGCATCAAGGGAGATGTAGTCCACAACATCTGGGGTGCGGAAGGCTGCCTATCCCTGAATCTAGGGTTTACTTTTAGACAAAGGATGCCAGTTAATGCCTATAGCATTACGTTACTAAACCACATTTGTACCATTCAGCTTTTGCAAGGAGGCCACTGTGATTTAGGGAAAACATTTACCTAAACCTCTCATTTCAACCCCAAATATGCCCTGCTAGATCTCTCTGTGAGTAACTTTCTGCCTTAACTGGGTTTTTAAGGTTCCCCTTGCCTTACCTTCTCTCCTTCCCTAAAATAGGCATTTTTAGATAAGCCTAGACATGGTGCTTTGGTTTGTTTACACTTAGTGCACAAGTGATCTGAAATGTATATGTAATTATGTGAGCTTGCTTTTATCAGGATAATCAAATTAATTATCATTTACAGTAACAGAATATTTGTTCACAAAAACCATAGGGGTCACGGTGACACTGGAGAGAAAAGGCAAAGCGCTCAGAATCATTTCATCAATATTAGTATTAGTAATATTCATTCTCCAATTCCCTTGGAAATAAAATAATTTAACATAGAACAATGTGTCAGCAAGCAGATAGGCCACCACGCATTTAGAAAGCCGGACGATTTAATTTTATGTTGATCGTACCAGAAACCAAAATCTGTTTTGTGTTCCAGCAAAATGCTCTGTTTTTCCGTTGACATGGTTTAAATAGTAAAACGATGTCCTCCTTTTCTTACTTTTGTGCTTATTTCCTCCTGATTGTAATATCCAGACGTTCTGGGCTGGCCAACAACATCAAAATGAAGCTGCCGGATATGGATTTACACCTTCAGCAACAGTATGTGCAATGTTTCGCAGTGAAAGGCCACAAATACAGACTCCAGGCTCCATGACCACTTGATGGTGCTTGGAGTAACCTTTTAATATACGACTGAGCCAAACCATACAATCAGTAAAAAGATGTCAAAGAAGACAAATGTATTCTCTTTTAAAGGTACATTGTTTAAACCCTGCACCCCCCTCCCCCCCCCCAAATAAAATAAAAACACAACAAAGCATTTTACTGTATATAAGGTGATCAGACAGATTTTTTTTTTAAATTACGAGCAAAAATAAAATGTAAAAAATGTTTTTAAATATTTAACTACTCGTGTATGATGGTAGGGTCACAGACTAAATAATCCATTGTTTGTGATAACCAGTATTAAACGTTTTATTTGTATTACATGAGATCATGGATTATATGCCACCAAAGAAGGCACATGAGGAATAGGTAATCAATTTCGGTGGACAGCAAGTCTCACCGGTGAGCCTCCATTATGCATCGATTATTTGTTGAAAAAGGCAGATAACTCAGAAAATCAATGCAGAGCTTTAGATAACAGGCAATCTACCGTAGAATAGCTTATATACAACCTAGCACCAACAATGATATATACAGACATACATGTGCATCACAAGGACAAAGTATATTAATTACTTGACTTCTATTACAGTACACAATAGCAGAGGACCACAGCCATAGGGGCAAGTGGGGTAACACTCTGCCAGTTTGTGTTTGCAAAAATAAACAAATAAAAATGTAAAAGAAGTAAATAACCATAAGTTTTGAACATGGCACAGAGTTTCATTGGCTGAGGAGTTGAGTAAACAGGGTTAAGTGGGTAGTACCTCACCATCTCCAAACTTCACCAGCCATCACTGCTCCATTGTGTTATTTTACTAAAGCCTCCCAGCCAGATGTATACATTTCAGATATTTTAGCAAACTAGCATATCATAGCCAAAAGCAACCAGGAGCCACAAATCGAAAGTTCTAAAGAATATTTTCAAAAATGCGACATAACCCAGTTTCGTGATAAGGTACAGATGGGTCTTATAAACTAGCAAAGGTCCCCGGGCCCTCCCTCACATGCCGGCAGTGCCTTGTACTGGTGTAGGAAGAATTTAGATTTCAGATTTAAGTACATGTGATCTGCCAGTCTGATTACATACAGAGGACCCTAAAGGGGTAAGAAGCATGTGTATACTGAAATTGTGAATGTAACTTATATTTGCAACAGTTAACATGACGATACATTTTTATGTATATGGGGGAAAAAAAACTAATACGGGGGAAAAAATTAAAATCTATCCCTTTTCCCAAATGGATTATATGTATTCTTAATGCTATAGTGTTACCGTGCTACCTATCTGTGCGCAACCTTTCAACAAGAGTTTTAAAAGCAAGTTTTACGTACTAGATCACACAGAGCACTGGTGTTGCCATGGCTGTACCGCCTCCCTGGCTGATGATATAAATCTTGATAATCTCTGCCTATCCAATGCTTCCCCATAGTGAAGCATATGGAGGCTAGTGCAAAATGCTACACTGCGCCAGTCAATGGCTCTCTATGAGAAGCATTTGACTTAATAACCGAGTATTGGCGAATTTCTTCAATTTAAATCTGTTCGGTTTGGGGGATTTTCCTGACACTATAGTGGCCTGAGGGTGCCCCCACCCTCAGGGTCCCCCTCCCGTGGCGCTGAAGGGGTTAAAACCCCTTCAGCAGCTTACCTTTTTCCAGCGCCGGGTTCCCTCGTTGCTGGTGACCTCTCCTCCCCCGCCGACGTCAGCTCCCTCTCCCTCTGCAAGTGCCGCGCGCGCATTCAAGCTGTCAATAGGAAAGCATTTTTCAATGCTGGCTAGAGGCTGGCTTAACCCTGCAATGTAAACATAACAGTTTCTCTGAAACTGCTATGTTTGCATCTGCAGGGTTAAAACCTGAGGGACCCGGCACCCAGACCACTTCATTAAGCTGGAGTGGTCTGGGTGACTATAATGTCCTTTTAATTTTAAATTGGGCGGTCTTCTTAAATGAGAATTCCTACAGAAATTAGCAGAATCTACCTGCTATCACTTTTAGAACACTTTAATAAATACAATCATAATAATAACAGAATGAAACTTTAACATTTCAGAACACTTTGATAAATGATCTCCAAGGTATTTTGGTATAAATACAGTAGCACAGTGAAAGTTCGTAGTGATGTGTTTCTTTCTCTCCAACGTTCGGCCGAGGTTTTGACAAACATCTGTAGTTAGGAATTTCAGTAAATTCCCCCAAGAATGTTTTTCATAGGATCCATATCAAACCGCAAGCTCCTTTTGAGAGGCTGAATAAGGACACACAAAGGCCCGTGGCTTCAGTCATGGAAAAAATAATAGATGTTGGAATTTACAATCAGTACAAGACTTAAAAAGCAACCAATACAGCAATTTAGTTTAAAACATGTATTGGCCATTGTATAACCTCACGTTAGAAGTTGAGATGCTCGAAGGACAGCTTTCTGAAATGGTCTTGCGCACAAAGCTTGAATTAAAGCAGTTTGTTACATCATCCTATTCTTAAAGTGTCTGTCACCTTCTATGGTCTTTGCATGTTGTGCAAGGACTCCCAGATTGTGACGTTGCCGCTCAGTGGCCCAGGGGTCCCTACTATGTCTTAAGATATTGTTTGATGGCATTGAAACTTAAGAAAAAATTACAACAAAGTCCAAGTAAGTATTTGATAAAGATGTTATCTTTATATAATGCTTACTTCGTAAAGGGGAGAGGGGGGTGACCGAGCCGCGATGATAACCTGCCGAGTTAGTCAAGCCTTTGTATTATCAACTACGATCTCTTACATGGGTAACAAACAGCGCACCCACCCTAAAGTCATACCAAAATCTGACATTTTTAAATAGCACACATTGGAAATTTGGAGTGTCTGCACAAAAAAATAAAAGCCAATTCAATAAAATTTGTGCTGAATTCTGCATACCCCAACATTGGCGACACTCGCAGACCAGCATTCCATTAACTGTTATTTTTCAGTGCTGTATAACAAGGAGACAAAGCATTATAAATTATACTTTTAAATAAAGATGCCAAGACCAATAAGGCCTGGTCACAAGAGCTCACAATTCTAGTGGTCCAAGAAGGTAACATATGGTTAACAACTAGATTATAAGTGGGTTTCTCAACTCGCCTGTCTTACATTATCCCATGCACGTACACTGGCATTATAAAGGTTAGAGACTGAATCGGAGTTCTATTTCTGTACAACTCTAGGATATGCACACATCAGGGTCAGGGACGGACCAGAATCTCGGGAGGGGCATCAATACAAGTTCACTACACAAGCTCACCGGCAGACACATAAGTTCCCTAAAGAAAAATCACTACACAGATCACTACATAGCACCTTGACAATCCAAGCTCACTGCAAACCGCTAACTCTACACAATCACTTAGCACAGTACAAACAGTACAAGTTTCTTGGGGGAAGGAGGGCTTTCCCTGGTGCCTCCCCCCCTCCCCAGATTTACCTCCTATAAGGTTTTGAAGCACTTATACGCTTCATATTACTGAAAGTTTCAATTGCTGTTGGGCTCAGTGAGACTGAGTATGCTTGTATACACAACACATTTCTGTGAGTTTTACTGCTATAGCTTATTTGTTTGTTTTTTGTTTTTTAAGCAAAATTACACCATTTGTGTCAGCCTCTTATTTTACACACAGAGCATTCTGTGCTCACAGGAAAATAAGGGGAATTTGGGTTGCAAGTTTTTAATTATTGAAAAGGAGGCACTTTATATCTTACTATTTTTATTTTATTTTATTTTTTAATAACAAAGGATTCAAATATTTAAAAAACATTTTTGTAAAAAAACAAAAATAGAACTTTTTTGTTAAATCTATATGGTGGCACAATGCATTTTCTGTTTCCATTTAAAGCACATAACTGCCAAATTATTCATGCTTCGCTTATTCAGCAAGTAGCCTTTTTGGCAGAAGCATGCCCCTTTCTTGGCCTGGCCCCTGACTAGTTCCATTTCTAAATTCCTAGATATTCCTGTATTTCATTCAGTGAGGCTGTGGGTATGAGAAGAGATTATCACATTCCCCTGATCAGACTGGCCATCTGGGTGTAGGTTTGGATTGAGGCCAGGAAGCTCCATTTTAATATAAACACTTTAAAATAGACAGAAATGGATGGGACTGAAGTTTATTAAACAAGAAGAAAAAACAAAAAAAATTCCAAATGTTTTAAAGGTGTACTCCAACTCTCTTTCATTATCTTAATTTAGAATGGCCTGTTGCGCCTTAGTAATTCATTTGTGTTTTTTTTTTTTTTTTATTAATATGCACTAATATAAGCAATTACTTATCTGGAATCCAGTGCTGGATTGAGAGACCCAATCAAATTCTTTTCATAGAGAAGCGTTTGATTGGACTGTTCTCACTAGCTCAGAGCGCAATCTGAGACCGAGACTGTGGAGAGGGAGCAAAGCCTGCAAGGGTAGAAGCTGATAACGTCGGACAACAGATGTTCATCTGTCAAATAACAAATTAACATTCACGATATGCTAGTCTGGAATTAAATACAAATATAGTTTATATATATTAGTCGATATTAATTAGTATATACGTGTATATTATTAATACATACATTAGTCTAGGGTAACCAAGACTGCATTTTGTTTGCAAACCAATAATTATTTGCATCTTACGGTTGGTGTCAGACTGGAGATTCTGCACACAAAAAAAAAAAAAACATTTACAAAAAAAAAAAAAACTACCTAGATATTGCAATAGAACATGGAATTTTCAGCACACTAGAGTTATGTAGTAAGGTAAAGATTGGACTAGCGACAGCTAGCATTTTCTCATAATATAAACAATAAATGGCTATGGCATTGATCTGCACACGCATGAAAAGATTTTGAAAGATCGTGCTGAAGCTCCTTCCAGTACACATTTTATTTTATGTTTAATTAAAGTACTAGCCCACTATAGTGGTTATGGTACCAGGAGTGCCCTGGTAGCATACCAGGTAGGGTACTCTAACCATTTGACAACTTACCTGGGGTCAACTGGGTGATTTCTCCCGTTGAGCTGGAAGTTCCTCCACGGAGATGTCACTAGCTCTTCTTTCATTGGATATAGTGCCGTCAGGCAATGACCCAAGTCCTGCTCCATCTGGGTTGATTCAGTGCTTCTGGGGGGCACAAGAAGAAACTACTAGCACCTGGCAGATCAGTGGTAAGTTGTCAAACCACTCCCAAAAGGTTTGACTACTTACTCTGGGAGGGCACCAAGGCACTCCTGGCACATAACCACTGCAGTACACCATAACCACTACTAGTGATTATGGGTTTGAAATGTTTCTTTAAGGGGTCAACAGTGAACACCAAGAACGAAGGCGGCAAAACCTAATCGGAGTTTACATCCCTCACCTTGCATTTACAGGCTTCATTATTAAGTTAACGGGTCATCTTGGTGGGTCCTTGCTCAAAACTGAGCTACTTAAAGTATCAGGTTCTCTTTAACCTCTCGGGGAGTCAGGGTGAAATAACATGTGTTACTCTTCACCACTTGCTCTCAAAGGGTTAATCAGAGGAGCAGCGAACATGCTTAACTTAGCCCTATTAGCAGTGATTTATCCAGCTCAGCGGGTGGCATGCATAAAACAAACTACTCCCAATTTGTATTTTAAAAAAAAAAAAATTATAGAAAATTCCATTAGCAATTTGTTCCGGACACACCGAGAAGTCACGGGGAGTTTGTTTTATCTTGGCAACATTGAAAGTAAGGTGCGGTCACAACAGGGAGAACAAAAAAACAAAAGGAAACATGGAGGTCAGGGGGTGCCCAACACACCCCATTAATTCTTCCTTACAGAAAGTTGGGTTTTTTTTCCGGGACAAAGGATTTTAATAGCCCGCAGCGGCCAAGAAAGTGAACAGATCAATGTATGGCCTACTGATAAATCACCATCACACTGATTGAGCTCCTTGATAAAAAAAAATGACAATTAAAAAAAGAGCTGAGAAAGTGATCTATATCTCATTTAGACATGGTTTAGCAGATATCTTATTCCTCAATGTATCTATCTACATCCCTTGGCTGCCATTTTCTCACTGGTTGTATTAGTGAATATGATAATTCTAACTGGAATGTTCTAAAAAGAAAAATGTCTAACATTATACAGCAAAAAGAAATTTAAAAAAACAGCATGTACCTTATGGTTCATTTTAGAAACTGTCCAGTAATTTTCCTACTGTAACTAAATAAACGTATTACACTTCCCTTGGGCAATGTGGGCCTTCTACATAGTTAGCAGTTCAAAACACTTAGTTTAAGCTTCGTCACTAAACATCAAATTGTAGAAAAGCAAAACTGCTAAATTTATGCAGAAAAGGATAAAATTTATGAGCATATCAGGTTTAGAAGGCATTTCCCCAAACATCACCCATATTGGCGTACATTTTGCAATATAGCTTTCAATTTACGCCAAAGGGTATTCACAGAATAAATCGCTTTATTTCTCTGTACTGCTCTACACAGCGGAACAGTGACAAATAATCAGATCAAATGATAAAATGTCAGGTTCTAATTGGCTGCTACTGTTAGCACATAAGACAGCAATCTCATTAAAAGATTGGTATGCAAATCCAACATGGCTGCCCTAAAAAAGGTATTAAACATATTTTATTGTACACAAGACTGTTGCTTGCTCTAGCAGGAGATAACTTCTGAATTATACAGACTGTGCAATAAAGGAAGCTAAAACATTTAGAACTTTTTTCAGGAAGTATGTAGGGATGTAGTGTCCCTTTAAGTTTGTAATTTTCTTATGGTTTGTCTAGCATTCGTAGAATAAAAATTTTTAAAAAAAGTCCATGGCATCTCTTAAACTCTGTCTAATAAGTTTTGGGAGGCTAAGATTCTGGGTTTCTTAAAGGGACACTGTAGTCACCAGAACAACTACAGCGTATTGAATTTGTTCTGGTGAGTAGAATCATTACCTTCAGGCTTTTTGCTGTAAACACTGTCTTTTCAGAGAAAATGCAGTGTTTACATTACAGCCTAGTGATAACTTCACTGGCCACTCCTCAGATGGCTGTTAGAGATCCTTCCTGGGTCATGGCTGCCTAAAATGCTTCCAAACATTCAGTATCTCCTCCCTCTGCATGCAGACACTGAACTTTCCTCATAGAGATTCATTGATTCAATTCATCTCTATGAGGAGATGCTGATTGGCCAGGGCTGTGTTTGAATCATGCTGGCTCTGCCCCTGATCTGCCTCTTTGTCAGTCTCAGCCAATCCTATGGGGAAGCACTGTGATTGGATCAGGCTATCACTTCTGATGATGTCAGCAGGCAGTGGGCAGGTCTAAAGGAAACAGGGACTAAGTAAGCAGCTCCAGACTTGAATATAAGTAAGATGTTACTTTACTATTTTTATGGAGGCATGAGGTGAAAATGGGGCTAGATGGTGATTTTAACTTTATAGGGGCAGGAATACATGTTTGTGTTCCTGACCCTATAGTGCACCTTTAAGCACAGTTAGTAGTTTATTCTCTTACAGATATTTTATTTTCGTACGACAGATGACAGATGCGGTTTAATAGATCTACATAGCTACAATGTGTTTACATACAGCTGCAACAGATGGTCTATGTGTTACCATAATAAATGCACAGAGCAGGTTATAAACAGGGGTAAAGAAACCAATTATCCTGACTCCCTCTGGCTCTTTGGATCCTTATGTCCATTTTCTTTCTGCTTGGCAACATCTACATCACATTTTATTATTCTGGCGGTTTATGATATTAAAATATAAAGCATTAAGTAAAAAAAAAAAAAAAAAGGAAACCCACTTGCCCAACACAAAAAGGACACTTCAAGCAAGAGGACCTATAGGTTAGGCAGATTATACCGTACATTATGTAGATAAAAAAAAAAATTTAATTTTTTTTTTTATATATATATATATATATATATATATATATATATATATATATATATATATATATATATATATCTCTCAATAAAGGATCATTATAGGGTCAGGAACACAAACATGTATTCCTGACCCTATAGTGAAAACCCACCATATAGGTGGCTTGTCATCATCTCCCCTTAGCCCCCTCAGAATGGGATAACATTTACTTTATTTTCAGCTCTCCACGGGTCTACAGGCGCTGGCCCCACCCCCCTTGGTGACATCAAAATTGCTGATTTTTAGCCAATCCATTGCTTTCACATGGGGAAATCATTGGACTGGCTAAAATCGTCAAGGGGGCAGGGCCAAACATCGTTTTGGCCAATCAGCACCTACTCCTGGAGATGCATTGAATCAATGCATCTCTATGAGGCAAATTCAGCGTTGAACGGCAGGGCTGCTTACTGTGCAGCGCTGAGCCAGGAAGCCCTTCCAGTGGCCATCTAAGGAGTGGCCACTTGGAGGTGCCCCTAGGGGCAATGTAAACACTGCCGTTTCTCTAAAAAGGCAGTTTTTACATGAAAATGCCTGAAGGGAGCTATTATACTCACCAGAACAAGTACATTAAGCTGTAGTTGTTCTGGTGACTATAGTGTCCCTTTAAATAAAAATATACTTAAGCACTGATTTTCCCATCTTTGCAGAAACTTGCTGTGTTTTCGCAGCCAATCCTAGTCATCCCACGCTTCTCAAACCGTTACTTATTAAACAGCTTGATTCATGAAAGGACCTGAATGAAATCAAAAAGCAGAGTTGAGAGAATGTAGAAGCTTGCCAGATACAGTCACGCATAATTTTACATGCACACAGCTGCTGTGCAGGTCCCCTCATAAAAAGTTACCAGGTTGATTGTGTGACAATCACACTGAGCAGCCAGACAGAAGAGTATTTATAAATGTACAATTGCACGACTTAAAATAATACTTTGTATTAATAGCAATGCAGGTCTCAGCTTGTGCTCGGTTTCTATATTAGAACCCATGTTCTCCCATAGGGACTACTGTAACATCAAGATCTTACCAATGCCACATGGAGAATTTGATTCCAAAAATACATCAGACATAAATACGGAGTTTGCTTGCAAATTGGCACTTACACAAAACACAAAATTATAGCACATTCCATAAAGCTGTGTTTAAAGTGGATGTGTGATTATATATCATTTTGGTGAGAAGATATTAACAGCAAGGGAAGGGATTGAAAGCTTTTCGAGTGAAACATGATCGTCTGAAAAGAATACAAAGTGACAGAATCAGGAACACCAAAGATGCACCTTAGAACTTAAATCCCAGTGTGATATTTCAAAGTTGCAGTCTGCGATTCCTCAAAAAGGACAACATTCCAGAAATAATTCTTTTTTTTTTTTTAAACATAGAAACAAGATCATGTCTTGATGATGTACCCAACAGACAGAAATACGTTTGAGAACATTACACCAGAAGATGTCTAGTGAGGAGGTGATTGGGTATATGTGCGCTGTAACCAGCTGTAATAGAATTGCACATGTGTATAATCCTGAAATGATTACTTGGAAGAATAGAAATGGACTGTTTAATACATTTCTAATCTGCATACATTTTCCAAGAGTATCCAACTGAAATGTGAATACGCAAAATGGAGTTTCCTGTGTATGCACAATAAAGTATTTGTACATTTTATTCCTTGCATGGTAACTAAAACTTTGACAGCTGCCGTACAGATTAAAAGGGAACTTTCACCTCCAAATTTTTTTTTTCCAAAAATCTTTTTAGTTATCCCCTATATTTAACCAACATCTATTTGTGCGGTGTGAAAAATAAAATTAACTGGTGGCATCCGCACTGCAACTTTAACTAGGCATCCTGCAACTGGGCGCCTCCATCGTAGCTCCCTGTCAACCATTGTTATGAGCTCTGTCTTTGGACCTGGAAGTCAGCATAGAGACAATTTACATAGAAGAGGAGAAATTATCCATTTCCTCTCCTCATTTGCATTATGTGCCCCGACTGTGCCTAGGAGACCTGGATTGGATCATGATAGTCGGCATAGCACTGCAGAGATGGTGTATATTAACTTAACAGTTTTTACGGCAATTAACACATGCTTGGTCTTTATGATAAATTATATATTTATTATAGCTTTAGGGAGATGTGGTACATTAATGACATACCTATAATGACAGAAGATATGAAAAAAGCTAGCATATATTTTCTCATTAAGAATGTTAAGTTCTAGACTGAGGTTAAAGGACCACTATAGGCACCTAGACCACTTCAGCTTAATGAAGTGGTCTGGGCGCCAGGTTTAACCCTTTTTTCTATAATTTATACTAGGGTTAATCCAGCCTCTAGTGGCTGTCTCATTGACAGCCGCTAGAGGCGCTTCCGCGCTTCTCACTGTGATTTTCACACTGAGAAGACGCCAGCGTCCATAGGAAAGCATTGTGAATGCTTTCGCATGAGACTGGCTGAAAACGCGCGCGGCTCTTGCCGCACATGCGCATTCAGCCAAGGAGGAGAAGAGGCGGAGAGGAGGCCCGCCCAGCGCTGGATAAAGAGGTAAGTTTAACCCCTTCCTCACCCTAGAGCCCGGCAGGAAGGGGGCCCTGAGGGTGGAGGCACCCTCAGGGCACTATAGTGCCAGGAAAACGAGTCTGTTTTCCTGGCACTATAGTAGTCCTTTAAGAGACTAATTATACAGTTAGCCAATAGAATGATCCAAGTATTGATATAGTTACTCCACGGCCACCATCTATGAAAAAATACTAATGTGATGCAGTCAGTCAATCATATATTTAGAAAACTCATTTTCTAAAAGGGATAATTTTGGAGATGACCAAGACTCCTGATTTCACACCTATGTTATAAATTGGACAGTGTAACTTATTTTTGAATCACACAGAGCTATTTAAAGTTCTAAATGTACACAAGGAATATTCATTAATTTTGTCACAGTAAAGAAGCATTGATTATTGAAAAAAAAAATTCTCATTTGTATTACAAAATTACTAAATAGGGAATAACCGGCTGATTTTTACTGAATGGAGAAATGCCACTAACAAAAAAATAAAAACAAACATATTAGCACATAGAGTAATTTGTTTTGTACCAACTAATTTATTTACTGAATAGTGTACGACGATGGTGACTTGAATATGAAAAATGCAAAATGCACAGCATGAAGACGCTGAACGCTAAAGCTGGACACTTTGCAGCACTGACTCAGGAAGCACCTCTAGTGGCGTTACTAGACCGTTTCTCTGAAAAGGCAGTGTTTACATAAAAATCCATGCTGACTATTGACACCAGAACCACTAAGATGTAGTTCCTTTAAAAATGTATAAGTCAAAGTCTGCACAGACAGGGCTGCAGTGACATCTTAGCTCCATAACTTATGCAATGATCAGAGATTATGGAACTTGGAATGTCCCAATAAAGGGAAGCATTATTTGTTCTACAATGGATTGATGGCTGAGATATTTCAGCAAGAAGGAGGGTGGGAGTTTCAAACATGCTTCTCCCCAGCCGATAGTCATTGCATGATTGTCTTGTCCCATGCTCCTGGGATAATCTAAGTACAGGAAGCAGAGTAGGCCGATAGGGATTGGCTATTGTGCTGAATTGCACAGTTGACACAGATAAGCAGAAGGTAAAGGAAAGGCCAGAGTAAATTAGGATAGGGTGGAAAGTATAGCAGAATTGGAGGCAAGTGGGAGATATCAGGCAGTGTGCACAATGTTTACCCACCCTCATTCTAGAATGCAGCGATTAGATAAAACCAGGACCGTTTTAGCCCCTTGCATTGAGAAAGTAGAATAGGTACACAAAATATCACAAATTCCCAACTTTCAGCCTACATCCGGTATCCCCACTGCCACCATCCCCAGTTCACTCCCACCCAGATATCCCAAATAACATTTTGATCATCTCTGAATATTCCTACCCTAAAAACTTCAATTGCCTCCTGTGGCCCTTCTCACTGACTGTCCTGAGACAGAATTAATTCACAGATCAATTTATCTGTATTATCACTGCTCTTGACGTGGAGCCCAAAAAAAAACTCTTTTGGAAGTCTAAATGGGATAAAAGCAAGTACGACCAATCTCATCCCTCCTCTTCACATCATTAGAACCTTTGATGGAAGCTATCTAAAAAATAAAAACAGGCTTCCAAGTTAGAAATCACAATAATAAAATAGTGGATCTGATGATGTTTTAAGTACAAACCCTGGTAAAGTCCTCCCAGCTTTACTCATAATACGAGAAACCTATGCTGAAGGTCTGGATACAGACTCCTTTCCTGTCACAATTCCACCAACAGACCTTCAGCGATTCACCAGTTTTCAATGTCAATCATAGAAAGGGGACATTGGACAACAAGTAATTGAAATACAAAATATTAACAGAGACAAAGGTGAGGAAGGCCCTGCTCAAACGTAGCTTTCCATCTACAAGAAAAGGGTAAAGACACACAGGAGGAATAACAGCATGTCAGAGGAGAGGAGAGATTGATGGATGAGATGCCGGTGTCAAAATAGCTAGTAAAAGTGGTGTGTGGAAAAACCGAACAGTGAAAGGAGAGGGAGTGAGCTGAGGAAGGTAATTGAAATGAGAAAAGGAGAAAGAGGGTTTAATAAAGAGGTGGGTTTTTGGTGACTTCTAAAAATGACTGGAGGCTAGAAGAGAGTCATTTGGTATGGGATGGAGAATTACATAGGAATGGGGAAGGTTACTTTTATTATATTTTTGTACAATATAAAAAAAATATATACATTTGATAGTAATTCAGTTAAAATAAAGAAAAAAAAAATAAAATAAAAAATAAAATCAAACTGAAACTGACCCTATAGTGTTCCTTTAAATTTTACCACAATATATTTGCATAAGAGGCGCACTTTGAAAATAAATTTACAATGGAATTCTGCCTTTTATTTTATTTATACTCTTCTAAAATTCACAAACTTCTGCAACATCTTCTAACATATTAGTTTTAATCCAGCGATTTCTATTTTTGCTTTGGCTGTAGGGTCTTGTTTTTTTGTCTGTTTCTTTAAACACACAACTTAACTATTATTAGCAATCAGCTATATCAGGGGTTCTTACCCTTTGCTGGTTAGGGACCCAAATTACATACATGGTATCAGTTAAAGGGACACTATAGTCACCAGTGCAACTACATGTATTCCTGACCCTATAGTGTTAACACGACCACCCCCTGGGCCCCTCATGCCTCCATAAATATAGTAAAAATCTTACTGTATTCAAGCCAGAAGCTGTAAATCTGCATGCTGTTAGACTTTGGAAAAACAAGCAGTCTGCTGACATGTGATAGCCTGATCCAATCACAGTGCTTCCCCATAGGATTGGCTGAGACTGACAAAGATGCAGATCAGGGGCAGAGCCAGCATGATTTAAACACAGCCCTGGCCAATCAGCATCTCATCATAGAGATGAATTGAATCAATTAATCTCTATGAGGAAAGTTCAGTGTCTGCATGCAGTGGGAGGAGATACTGAATCACAGGATGCTCTTGCACAGCAGATCTGACTGGATGGAGGCATATCATGCCTCCATCAACTCCAAAGTCCCTCTGGTTCACTCTGAGTGACTGCAACTGGAGGTGTTCCTAGCTTTCAATGTAAACACTGTATTTTCTCAGAAAGGCATGAGAAAAGCTGTAGGGAGCTATAGTTCTCACCTGAACAATCTCATTAAACTGAAGTTGTTCAGGTGACTATAGTGTCCCTTTAAGCAACGCATCCTTCAACTGGAAGCCTGGCTTAGTGACACTGTAGCGGAACGCTGATCACTCTCAGACTATTTCCTCTGGTAATCCTAGTGTGGCTCAGGAACCCATGTTTAACCCAGGAGAACGTCCACCGTAATCAATAAAATAATCCAATAGAGTAGCAGGCACGAACAGCAATATAATCCAGCAATATCCCATCACATTTCCCAATAACTGGACGACACACAGTATTAGGAGCAGAACTCACCTTTAAATCACACAACCTCTGCTTTTATGCAATCTTCCCATGCAAGGGAGACACCCACAATAATTAGTACAGTAACCAATTAGGTACAACCCACACATCTCCTCCCCTCAGATTATCAGTTAACATAATTAAAAGGCACACAATTTTCCCCACGTTCTGGATGTACCCCAAATATCTAGGTACCCCTAAATATGGTATCCCCTGATAGCCCTGAATACGAATAACGTACCGAACAGCCAGACCACCCTGGAAGAGGAGTGTGCTGTAATTAACCTTCCTGTTCGTCCACTGCATTCCCCTGTAAAAAGCACAAACACTTAGCTGTATTTCCTGGGTGGCCGCCATTTCAGGAGCCAAACACGTGGCAGCGGCCATCTTAAACTCACGAACAGTGGTGTTTGATCGTCGAGTGTCTGGAACCCAAATCGGACACTCGACTAAGCAAACATCGCTGAGACCTCCAGAGCTACAGAAAAGACTGAGCTCCCGAACGGCCCACCGTTCGGTAGGATGAATCCCACGAACAAGGGGATTAATCCGAATGCCTGCCCAACTCTGGATGGCATTTAGTAATGTACTAATTATTGTGGGTGTCTCCCTTGCATGGGAAGATTGTATAAAAGTAGAGGTTGTGTGATTAAAGGTGAGTTCTGCTCCTGATACTGTGTGTCGTCCAGTTATTGGGAAACGTGATGGGATATTACTGGATTATTTTACTGTTCGTGCCTGCTACTCTATTGGATTATTTTATTGATTATGGTGGACGTTCTCCTGGGTAACTATGGGTTCCTGGGCCACACTAGGATTACCAGCGGAAATAGTCTGTGAGAAATCAGTGTTCCGTTACAGACAAATTATTCAAATATAATGTAATTAACTTTAAAATACATTTTGCAATATATCTTCATTAGACTCTTTGCAGTGTTAGTGGGGGGTCTCAAGTCCTTTGACGAAAGCAGAGCTTCTACCATAAAGAATTTATCGTGAGCAGTTGTCCTGTTCATAGAAATGGCAACCCACAAAATTCCATTGTGACAGAAGCTCTCATATCACAAACTTTTAGAAGGCTATGGACCTTGTCCAGAAAATTGGCTATTTTCTCTCTGAGGAGGAGTAAGGGGGCTCTGGACGCTTACTGTACTTCCCAGCCAGACTTGAGGACCTCTGGGGATCACCTGGACTTGTTTTACACATCAAGCTCCTGACCTGGAGATACCCTGAAAAACTCTGGAACTGTTCCTTTAAGCAGGTATAGTTTGGCCCCCAGACCTCTAAATAGAGCGCTATATGGAGGGGAGGTTGAGGAGACATCGGAGGATACCTGGGAGTTGAGAGCACTCCCCTCTCAAGAGGTCAGATAACTCCTTTTTAAAGAACGGGACTAAATGACCGCATGTCTGGAACTCCTAACCAGCCTGGAGATTAGCCACAATTCAGTAAATTTAATTTGGGCACGTATTCTCCAATCAGAACGCTATTTGGACAGCGAGGATAGAGATATATAGTGTGGGTTTCGATCCAAGGAAAGTGGTTCTGGTGGACAATGAGGGATGAGGGGAGAGGGGAGCAGGAAGATTCTGTACCTATAGACACCTGACATGTAAAAGCAGCCCTGTGTCAGCCCTCAAATCTATTGCCTCCTTCTAATGTGTAGGTAGCAATTTTGTGGGAACAAAAAAAAAAAATTAAAAAAAATTTTAAAAAAAATCACAGATTATGGCATATCTAGTACCCATAATCGCTGGCAAGGAGTGCCCAAATGATAGATCCACAGTTGCTGTATAATTACAACTGCCATGACACTTTAATGGTATATGAACTTCTTTTTTTAAAGGAACAAACATGTATTTCTGACCCTGTAGTGTTAAAATCCCCATCTAGCCCCTCCTGGCCCCCTCTTGCCACCCTAAATATAGTAAAATTTTATTTGTTTTCAATAGGGATCGACCGATTATTGGTTTTACCGATATTATCGGCTGATATTCAGTATTTTCGGCAATATATCAGCCAATATAGATACCGATACTGCCGATAATACCTCCTAGGACCGCCGGGCTCATTACAAGCCGGGCGTTCCTGGGGGGGCCGGCAGCAAGCTGTTACTTACCTTTCCAGCAACATCCTAGTGCAAATCTTGCGAGTCCCGCGGCCATAGAGCGTTGCCACGGGTTATCATGGCAACACTCCGCGCGGCACTAAGGGCCGCGAGATTTACACTGGGGAGCTGCTGGCAAGGTAAGTAACCGCTTGCTGCCGACCCCCCCCCAGTTCTTAACAAGCCACCGGACCACCAGGGAATACTATATCCCCTTTACCTGGTAAGAAGCAGGGAAGGAGGACTAAAAAAAAAAAAAAAACCAACACACATTTAAATATTAAAATAAATAATGCCCCCCCATTTTACACAAATTACATCTATAAAACACACTACACAAACACACTCTGCATTATATATATATATATATATATATATATATATATATATATATATATATATATATATATATATATATATATATATATATATATATATATATACACATACATACACACACACATATACATACATACACACACACACATACACACACATACACTGTATACACACACTACACAAACACACACAATGCATTCACTTTACCCACACTACACACACACTGTCTGCATTCACTATATACACACGCACACACACTACACAAATACTCACTGCATTCACTATACACACTACACAAAGACACACACACTATACAAATACTCACTGCATTTACTATACACACACTACACAAAGACACACACACACTCTACACAAATACTCACTGCATTCACTATATATACACACTACACAAACACACACACATCACACACTCACTGCATCCACTACACAAATACACGCTGCATCCACTACACACTACACAAATACACACTGCATCCACTACACACTACACAAATACACACTGCATCCACTACACACACACAGCTCCCCTGTCTAAACACACTGCATCCACTACATGTGGCATGTATATTTTGTGCATTTACCTTTAGAAATAGTTTATTTTTTCAAAATGGTAAATGTATAGAATATTGGCAAGTTATCGGCTATCGGCCTAAAAGTTCACAGATTGTCGGTATCTGCTCTAAAAAAAAAAAAAAAATCAATATCGGTCGATCCCTAGTATTCAAGTCTGCAGCTGCTAGCTCTGCCTGTCTGCCTATGATCTGACATCATCAGAAGTGGTGATCTGAGCCACGAACAATGTTTCTCCTTAGGATTGGCTGAGACTGTCAAGGAGGCAGATCAGGGACAAAGCCAGCACAAGTCACAGACCTGGCCAATCAGCATCTCCTCATAGAGATGAATTGAATCAATGAATCTCTATGAGGAAAGTTCAGTGTCTGCATGCAGAAGGTGGAGACACTGAATGACAGTGTTGCTCGCTGTGCAGCACTGCCCCAGGAAGCACCTTATAGCCATATGAGGAGTGGCCATTGGAGGTATCCCTAGGCTATAAAAGAAAGTGTTTACTGCAAAACACCTGAAGGGAAGTATTCTACTCAACAGAACAAATACAATAAGCTGTAGTTGTTCTGGTGACTATAGTGTCCCTTTAAATGAATTCACCTATTGGAGCGAAATTCTGTAACCCCTAAATTCTAGACTTGAATACAATCTTGAGAACCGCTAGAAACTGAACAGGATAATGTGGCACTATTCATTCGACACATCCTCAAAAGGTTGACCATTCTAAAATCTAACCATCCACAGCAAATGTTACCTATATTTGATTTTAACAATAGATATTAAAGTGACAATGCCACTAGAAAGTATTTCCATAAATTGTTTTTTAAAAATCCCAAGATAATATTTATTATCTAACTGAGCTATAGCAAGTTCAATTGTAGTCACTACTCAAAGATGCGACATTTGCTCAATGTGGTGGACGCCATCTTGAGACTGCATCAAAAATGTCAACACAAAACAAGAGTAACTGTGGTGTCTGGAGCCATTCAGAATCAGTAATCGATTGAGTAGCTAAAGCCTTTCTACTGATCATGAAAGCTTCTTTGAACCATTTGATTAAAAAATAAAAAATAAATAATTTGACCAGATCCGAATATAATTTGAAAAAAACCCAAAAACAAGTATATGATCATTTTTAAAGTACCGTGGTGCATAGACTATTTCTAATGAGAGTATCCCTTTAAGTCCAAGCCTCGAAGCACATACCTTCCACTGGATACTACCTAATTGCAATAGAGTCTGTTCAACTGACAGCTGCACTCCGTCCATTAAATAAATGGACAGCCAAAGAGCTATAATTCATCTTGCACAAAGTAAGACAGAATATTAACAAGACATGTACCATATGCAATATAATGATGCATATGATGCAATAATAATAATAATAATAATCAGTTGCACATTTTCACTATTCTATATACACATAGATTGACCTAAAAGGTTATAAATGTGAGAGAGAGAGAGATAATACTGTTTTATGATCTTTATAAGTCCTTTAATAAGTAGCAGTTGATTTTTTATATTAGTTATATTTATTTAAAAATGTATGGTTCAAAATATGTTTGAGGTGCATTTTAAAAGATCAGTATTTTTGTTTTATCTGTACGCATTAGTAAAATGTCTATTTTTAGAGGTTGAGGATCATTTCAGTACAAGGAGTAAGGAACCTATGTAAATCAGATAAATAGGATTATATGTAAGCTATACTGAAGAGAAACAAGGATACGGTTTACTTGTGCAAAAATGTTGTTCTATGGGACTTATTTTACACATGCATCTCATTCTTGTGCATTTTCTTTGTATGGTATCCAGGTGCTAACACAATTTATTGAGAATGCAGCACATCCACAAAATGTAATCAAATAAGTGATTACAGAGAACTCTAGAAAATGGGGGGGGGGAGAAGAGCCAGATCAGAAGTAGAAATTATATGGAGTTTCTTGTTCAACGCAAGCAGAACTATGGAAACCAAAAGGTATGAATTGAAATGTTATGGAGTCCTGCATCAATGAAAGAAAATGCATGATCGGCCATTACATTTACTTACCGTAGTAGGGCAAGCAAAGGTTTTGCCATGTCTACAAAAACTATGTTGAGGAAAAACAGAGAATAAAGTGAGCCCCTTAAGGACACATTGACATGTGTGACATGTCATGATTCCCTTTTATTCCAGACGTTTGGTCCTTAAGGGGTTACAGAAATGGTACGTTTTGAGAAAGTAAGGTTACTATAGAAACCATCATAAGATTCTTGCTGATTGTGCTAGTTTTAGCACTTAGCACAAAAATAGCATTTTATACATAACATACCGGTAACCTAATGGGCATTGCTTCAGTCTTACAGAAGAATATGAAAAGGAAACACTTGGCGAGTCAACATAGATAAAAACAAGGTTGTGCAGTTGTGAATGCATCATTACTTTAGTTTACGAATTCCTAATTCCAAAAGTGAAGTATCAATTTTGTTTTTGGACCAAGGATGACCAAAATGAAGAAAGCATGAACATGTAAATTTTACAAACCTAGTGTGTGTGTGACACATACACATCAACAATCAAAGGATTAAAAAAATAATTTTTGGTACGATGTCACTGACATGGAGCTTGAGACAAGACTCAGATAAGCTTTTGAGCAGGAGATTCTTTACTTTGTGTATTGGTTGACATTATTTTGTCATTATAAGTCAATTACACGTCATTATTTAACCCTACTGCATTATTGTAAAGCACTTCTGAATACACTGACGTTATAAAAATGGCAACAACAACATGGAGTTTTCAACAAAGCAATGGACCCTCACTTAACCCTTTCTCGAGATGGAATTAGATAGATCCCGAGAGTCCAGGCAATTTAACTCAAGAAAGTTAGAATTCAACACATGGAAAGAGGGCCTTAATGAACTTTACAAATAAAAAAAAAACATTTAAAAAATTTTTTTTTTTTTAAAAATCAAACATCAGGGGGATGGTGGAACAGGCTCTGTGAAGACACACGAGGAGAGATGAACTGGAGGGGGACACAAGAATTGATGAAAGGAGGTGGCAGGCAAGTGAGGACTAAACACTTACAAAGCAAATTACTTTCAAGGAATATAAAAAAACAAAAAAGGAGGATGTGAACACAAGACCCAACTAAAGAACGATCAAGAAAAAAACCACAAGACATGAAATGAGATGATAAAGGGGATATTGAGAACTGAGAGATAAAATTCAAAAGCATTAACAAAAACAATCAATAATTACCACACAAGTGCGGGCTTCCATGAAGTCATGAACAGGCAGATGACTGAGCACTAGGAGGTGGTGAGAAGGTGGAGGACAGTTTGCCTCGAGGTGGTGAGATGGTGTAGGTTGCACATCAGAAGGTGGAATGTAAACAGAGAGAGACAGGATGTGGCAAAAAGGAGGAGGGCACACACCATAAAGTGGCCAATGAAGGGCAGGCATCGAAAAGTGGCAAGATTAACAGATAGGGAGGAGGTACTGAGTTAAGCAAAAAGTGGAAAAAAAAAAAAATACAGTATTGGGGCACTTTGGAAAAAAAATGGAAAGAGGAAAAGGAAGAATGCGACACTGGGAGTTGCAAAAGTAGAATGGTGTGGAGTGGGATTGGAACTTCAGAGTTCAAGACGGCTCTGTGATGGTCACTGAGGTGGCACAGACAGTTGCAATGAGTTGTGCAGGGTACGAAATGGTACACTAACCAAGCAGGGTGAAGCAAAAGGGGGGCACGGGAATTGCTGAGTGAGGAAGCAATAGATGAGTGGTTCCCCACTTTTTTGGACCAAAGAACATTCAAAAGGACCAAGAAACAGTTCCAAGGCACATGGAGTTATTTTTTGTTTTTTTATTCTCCATTTACTTGTGGTCTTGGCAGAGAGCAATGCAACACACACAGTGTACACTCCTATCTAAATTGGCTTACTAGTCAGATAGTCACATAGGCTGAAAAAGGGCTTGCGTCCATCTTATTCAGATGGGAATAACATTTTAATGCTAAAACCCATTAATAAATAAATTTTTAAGGATTGTGTTCAACCCACGTATACAAGGAACTTTCATTGGACCTGTGGCACACTAGCTTAAAACCACTGCAATATATTTAACAAATGCAACCCACATTAACAAACAGGCTCCAGAGAACAGTAATTGGGTCCAAGTAATTATAATATTACATAAAATTATGCTAAAATAGGACATGACCCATGAAGAAAATATTAACAGAGTAATACAGTGGAACATGATCAATATTAGTGCATAATCCAGGCTAATTGTGTAAATACATTGTTACTGCTCATTTCTGCAGGTAGAAATTGGAACCCTGCTAAGGACATGTAATATGAGATCAGTCTTGTCTGCTGACGGAGGTGTATACACCTGTAATTCATGGAGGGGGGAGCTTCTGTCAGGAGCCATTGCTGTAATGCCAGTAGCCTGGGGTCACACAGAGGACTATGCACACAGTGACACATGTCCCTTGTCACACGCTGTCCTGTGTTTATCCTACAGTCTGACTGTGGCAGCCTGTGAAAGCAGACAATGTGAACTGCACTGTATAATGCATTGTTATTATTACTGCATTCTGACATGCAATACTGCTTCAATGTATATAGCAGCAAAGGGTGGCTTTAACAGCTGCACAGCCCCATTACATAAATACAGAGCACAATAAATATAGAGCCCAGCACATAGCTATACATTGCTGCAGAGCCCAACACATAGCTATACATTGCTGCAGAGCCCAACACATAGCTATACATTGCTGCAGAGCCCAACACATAGCTATACATTGCTGCAGAGCCCAACACATAGCTATACATTGCTGCAAAGCCCAACACATAACTGCAGAGCTCACTCCACATTGGATATAATATGATCCCACATTGTTGAGCACTATACATTGCTGAATATATAATGACCCCACATTGCAGAGCATTATAATGACCCCCACATTGCACAGCATTACACATTGCAGAGCATTATAATGACCCCCACATTGCACAGCATTACACATTGCAGAGCATTATAATGACCCCCACATTGCACAGCATTACACATTGCAGAGCATTATAATGACCCCCACATTGCACAGCATTACACATTGCAGAGCATTATAATGACCCCCACATTGCACAGCATTACACATTGCAGAGCATTATAATGACCCCACATTGCAGAGCATTACACATTGCAGAGCATTATAATGACCCCACATTGCAGAACATTATAATGACCCCACATTGCAGAACATTATAATGACCCCACATTGCAGAGCATTGCACATTGCCGAATATATAATGACCCCACATTGCAGAGCATTGCACATTGCCGAATATATAATGACCCCCACATTGCAGAGCATTGCAGAACATTATAATGACCCCACATTGCAGAGCATTACACATTGCCGAATATATAATGACCCCACATTGCAGAGCATTGCACATTGCCGAATATATAATGACCCCCACATTGCAGAGCATTACACATTGCCGAATATATAATGACCCCCACATTGCAGAGCATTGCACATTGCCGAATATATAATGACCCCCACATTGCAGAGCATTGCACATTGCCGAATATATAATGACCCCCACATTGCAGAGCATTGCACATTGCCGAATATATAATGACCCCCACATTGCAGAGCATTGCACATTGCCGAATATATAATGACCCCCACATTGCAGAGCATTGCACATTGCCGAATATATAATGACCCCCACATTGCAGATTGCATTATAATGACCCCCACATTGCAGAGCATAATGACCCCCACATTGCAGAGCCGAATATATAATGACATTATATATAATGACCCCCACATTGCAGAGCATTGCACATTGCAGGCTATCGATGCCCAGCTCCTCTCTCTCTCTCACCTGCTGCTGCAGCCGCCGCCTCGTCCTCCCTCTCTCTCTCTCTCTCTCTCTCTCTCTCTCTCTTTCGGCTGCTGGCTCAGCCTCTCCCCCCGGCCGGCTCCTCCTCAGCTCGGGCAGCGGCCCTGGCGGTGTGAGCGGTGGGTCCAGGCCGCCCCCCCCGGTCCCTCCCCCGGTGTCCGAGCTGTCAGTCCCCTCCTGCCCTGACCGCCTCTATGGCCCTCACCGAGCACCGACACGCACAGCAGCCGGGACCCCGCCCACCGCTAGCCACGCCCACAGATACATTACCTATTCATTAGTTAGCCTGCCGGGGCCACGCCCACCGCTGCTTAACCAGGTCGGGCCACGCCCACTGTCATATTAACCATTCATGAATTGAGAGCCAGGCCCCGCCCACCACATCCCTACTCTAGTGGCCCCTACCTATCCAGCAGGTCCATTGAACTCTATGATATCATATCCCATAGCTCCTTTACATTCCTGTAACATTTTGTATTTATCTCATTGATTGTGAAATTTCTCCCTCTATAATGTTATCGAGGGCAGCGTAATAAACTGCATTGGCTTCCAGTTAGATATAGGGCCCAATTCAAAATTCTGGCGCTTGCTTACAAATCCCTACATAATGCTGCTCCAACATACCTATCTTCCCTCATACACAAGTATGTCCCGTCGAGACCCCTGCGCTCAGCCCAAGACCTACTCCTATCCTCTGCCCGGATCCCCACCTCTGATGCTCGCCTTCAAGACTTCTCCAGGGCTGCACCTATTCTGTGGAACTCCCTTCCCTCCTCAATCAGACTTTCACCCAGCCTCCATTCCTTCAAAAAATCTTTGAAAACTCACTTCTTCATTAAAGCGTATCAATTAAACTGTCAGCAGGTTTCTCATCCCCCACCCCATGACTCCGTTCCTTCACCTGTCAAAAATGACCTACCAAGCACTCAATAAACCCTTCTGTAACAAACTATTTAATTCCCTTACTTTAACCCTTTGTGTCACTATACCCCACTCCCTCTAGCATGTAAGCTCATCGAGCAGGGCCCTCAACCCCCTCTGTTCCTGTACGTCAGTGGTCTGATCTCAATTATGTGTCTGTTAGTCCACCCATTGTACAGCGCTACGGAATTTGTTGGCGCTATATAAATAATAAAATAATAATAAAATAATAATATAAATGCCAATAATAATAATATAAATGCCAATAATAATAATTATAGTCCTGATTTGTCCCTTTTTATTTTTTTTAACAATGTTTGGACTTTGCAGTTACGTCTTCAAATGATCATGAATAGGCCAGCGAGTAAATACTTATACAACCTTTGGCAGTGCGCGGGTTAACCATGTGGTGGCCCAGGCTGGTCAATGCTAGCCAGCCAGCCAGCCAGCCAACCATCACATTAAAAAGTGCAAAAAAAAAAAGCTTATGCAGATCAATATGACCTCCAGATTACTACAAGGGTTTTTAATCTCCCTTATGACCCCACCTGGGTGGTGGCAAATCTACTAAACAGTGAGCAGCCATCGCCCATTTAATAACTAGCCCTTGTAGGATGTCCCCTTTTTGTGTTTTTTTTTCATGTTATTGCCCCCACTCACTGGTCACAGGTAATTATTTTATTTAAAGCCCCACCCCACCCAATGCCCATGCATTGGGGCTATAGAAGGACCATTGTGATGGGGCCTTTAGAGCACTACTAAATAGTGAGCAGCGCAGTGGCTGCCCAGTCGCCAGTTAATATAGCCAGTGGCTGCTCACTATTTAGTAGATATGCCCCTACCTATCACACGGGTAGAGGCAAATAATACCTAAAATTTTTGTTAACTTGGAAAAAAACAAGAGAACTATTATGTGTGAACGTGCATCCTGCAGGATACATTGAGTCCTAATTTTTTTATTTATTTATTTTTACCTTTTTTAGCTTTGTGAATATACTGTATCATATGCTTTGTATATGGTTCAAACGAGAAAAGCATCGATCGTTTTAAAACAGACACCAAATGCATCCATCCAATTGGAAATATCTTTAGTAAATATGACAAATTGCCTTCCCGCTAAGAATTCATTTTCACAGGATTTAGTCCATTCAGATAAATCCAGTGTTTAGTGAATTATCATGCCTGTCTCTTTCCTGCTATTTCTTTGCCAGCCTCTCGTTTGGCTCTGCCATTTTCATGCTAACATTTTCACTGTCTCTCCACCAATCTGCATGCGTTCAGGGCTACCATCAGAACTCATGGGTCATTACAGATTGACTGGTTGGTCCCCTCCTTGGTACATGTTTCCAGTCGCACAAATACATGTTCTCACACACATACCTTACAACACTTTTTAATATAGGAGACTTGCTTTCCTGGGTCCAGACTGAATTTTTGAAATTTAGTCGACTAAAATTAGACTATAACTAAAACAATTCAGACGACTAAAATACGACTAAAACTAAAATGACTTTTTAGTCAAAAGACTATGACTAAAACTAAATTGAAATTTGCCGCCAAGATATAGAGACCGGGGATTGTGAGAGAGACACCTAGAGGGTCTGGGGGAACACGAAGAGACACAGAAGGGCTGGGGAAGGGGCAAAAAAGACAAATAGAGGCTTTAACTGAAATCATTAAATTTTAGTCGTGTTGACTAAAATCTACTGGAGATTTAGTCGACTAAAACAAGACTAAAACCAGAGAAAACATGGTACAAGATAGAGAAAGAACAATGTGTAGGAATAGATCCCTTGCTTTTCTTTTGACTTGACATTAAATTGTTTAAAAATCTATGAATAAATAATTGGATAATATTACAAATGTCTAAATCAATAGATCCGATAAAAAATGTTTTCCTTGTTCATAATCAAATTCTGTGTAAATCCCCTCTAGAAATGATTAAACTATTCATAAGAGATCTTGACTTACCGAGTGGTTAGGGGAAAATATTGTAAAAGTTGGCCAACTAGGATCTAATATTTCTCCCAATTTCTTTTATGATCTCCAACAGAAATGTGATCTGCCCAACAAAGAAAGATTTACATACTTGAGAATTGTTAACTTTCTTAGAATAATACAAATAATAGATCAATCTCGTTTGGATACGATCTTGTAAAGATCGCAACCTTTAAGATCTTCCAAAATTAGACAGATCATCAACAAATCTACCCCAGAAACTAAAATAAATACAATCTTAAAGTTGGAAGAAGACTTAGATGTTACCATTATTATTATTATTATTATTGCCATTTATATAGCACCAACAAATTCCGTAACGCGTTACAATATTACGAGAGGGGGATTTAACTATAAATAGGACGATTACAAAAAACTTACAGGAACAATAGGTTGAAGAGGACCCTGCTCAAACAAGCTTACATACTAGAGGAGGTGGGGTGTAAAACACAATAGGACAGGAATTTGCAATCAAATAAGGTGTGAGTGAGGCAAGCTGGAGGAGAGAGTAGAGTGCTGCCCTTTAGGAGAGAGCAAGAGATGGGTATGTGAGGTAGAGGTTAGTCTGGGAGGCCATAAGCTTTCCTTAAGAGATGGGCTTTAAGGCACTTTTTAAAAGATGCAAGACTAGGGGAGAGTCTGATGGCGGTAGACAGGCTATTCCATAGGAAGGGAGCCATCCATGAGAAGTCCTGCTATCGTGAGTTGGCCGTACGGGTGCGGACAATGGACAGGAGGTGGTCACGGGCAGAGTGGAGAGACCGAGAAGTGCTGCAGCGGGCCATGGAGGCTGGAGATTTAATAGATCTTACAGAGGATGGAGAGATGATCAGTTCCTCTCCCCAGCGGCAGCCAGCGTCACAGGGAGAGGAGATTGTAGGTCCTTCATCCCACCAGCAGCAAGCAGCCCTGGGAGTGCAGATAGTCGGTCTCACTACCCAGCAACAGGCAGCGTCACAGGGAGAGGAGATTGTAGGTCCTTCATCCCACCAGCAGCAAGCAGCCCTGGGAGTGGAGATAGTCGGTCTCACTACCCAGCAACAGGCAGCGTCACAGGAAGAGGAGATTGCTGGTCCCTCATCCCAGCAGCCGCAAGCATCCCTGGGAGTGGAGATAGTCGGTCTCACTACCCAGCACCAGGCAGCATCACAGGGAGAGGAGATTGTCGGTCCCTCATCCCAGCAGAAACAAGCAGCCCTGGGAGTGGAGATAGTCGGTCTCACTACCCAGCACCAGGCAGTGTCACAGGCAGAGGATATTGTCGGTCCCTCATCCCAGCAGCGCCAAGTAGCCCTAGGAGTGGAGAAAGTTGGTCTCACAGGGAGAGGAAATTGTCGGTCCGACTCCCCAGCGGCAGCTTACCTTACAGGGAGAGGAGACAACCGGTCTCTCTCCCCAGCGGCAGCCGGGATGCCGGAAGAGAAGACAGCTGGTCCTTCTTCTCAATTACAGGGGGACCTCAAACACTGGTCCTGGGGGGAACCCCATCTGGCAGGTGGAAATGGGACAAAGGTCTCTCCACCAGCCCTTCAGGGATGCCGGGCAGCCGGCCCACATCCCCAACTGCAGTTGGAAGTATCAGGAGGGAGGACCGTTGGTCCTACTCCTCAGCGGCGGCATACCATACAGGGAGAGGGGACAATCGGTCCTCCTCCCCAGCGGAAGCCGGAGGTACCGGAAGAGGAGACAGATGTCCCCTCTTCCCCACTACAAGAGGAATACAGGGAGCAGGTGGACGATTCCTCCTCTCAGCAGCAGCTGCCCAACCGGGTCCATCCCAGCGGAAGAACTGGCATCAGGGCAGAGTGCAGCTGGCCTCTGCCCTACCAGTCCCCTAATTACAGCGTCGGACTGTCCCCAGGTCCCCCCAGCAGAAGTGCTGGCATCCGGGCAGGGGGCAGCTGGCCTTTGCCCTCCCCTTTCCCTTTGTCCAGGGCTTGTATACCCGCAGGCCATCCTAGCAGCGGAGCTGGCAAACCATTGCAGAGAGCAGCTGGCCTCTGCCCTACCAGCCCATATGATTTGGGCTGTAACGCTGGCTACGGGGCTAAGTGCCGCTGGCCTCTGCCCACCAAGAACCCACAACTCCATGCCGGGGAGCACAAGGGAGATCGGGGGTGACGGACACCCACTCAACAACCTGGGACATACAGGACAGAGCCGGACACCAGAAGCTACCAGGTCAAGTGTTTGTTTATGGGTGGGCTACTCGACTAACTCAGGTACTGACAGACAGAAGATCAGGTACCTGGTTAATCTTCCCTTGGGGGGGGGGGAAAGAAATGTGATGAACTGAGTCTCATCACGTGTTCTTGGAGAGGCCTGCTGGCCAGCCTTTTACCAAAAGACTATGAGCCCTTTAAAAAAACTATGTGAACAGAATTGGTTCGTGGGATTTTATATTTGGTTCCGGAACCGAACAGCCGCACGAACCGGAGACCACCCTGGAGCTTATTAAGCCTAATTGCTACTTTGTAGCAATTCCCACCTCAGTATTCTAAGAGTTTGTCTGGGTGGCCACTATTCCTATGGACGACCACGAGGTGGCAGCCATCTTGTTCGCATGAAATCATTCAGCGGTGTTTGGGCATGAATCTCATGGAACTGAAAACAGACACAGAAACTCCCGAACACCGATGGACTTCCAGCATCGCCTGCGGTCCATTCCACAACACTTAGAAAAGCGCTGTTCGGTGAAAATGTTCCCATGAACAAGGGGATCCAGCTCCAGGGTAAGACTATTGACTCTGTTTGGTAGTTTGTTCACTTTTAAAACTACCGAACTAGACTGACCGCAAGCCCTGATTCTCTGGAACCATGCCGGCGCTCGGTCAAAATTAAGACTTCCAGAAAATTCCTGAATCCCTGAACTGATCTGTGTGATTTTTGGATATGTTTTTTCACCCAGATCAGGGCTATCGGGGGATGTAACTTTTGTGGGGGGTTTGTGTGTTTTAAGGTATTTTTGAGGGTTTGTAAAAATGTATGTTTGTTGTTTTTTTCTGTGCTTGGAGATAATTAGATTAGTACAGTTCCTGATCCAATTATCTCGCAGGCACAGAGGAGGGATTGTCTCATTTGTGTATGGGAGTGTCTGGACCTGAGAGCCAATGTCATTGTGTGGTTGATTTTACTGTAGTCTACTTTCAGTTCCAGAGGGGGAGTGCCCCTTGCATGGGGACCTGCATTTAAGGCTAGTTGTGGCTGCCAATAAATGAGTTCCTGCCTACCCTCAACATAGAGTCTCATCTCATGTGTGGGGGGGAACAGCTGTATCTGCTCTGGGGATTGCTATATCACTATACTCCCTCGTGTTTATAATCACTTGCTCTCGTAAGAGCAGCCTGCCACACTTTCTGGAGTAGGACAGGTCTGCCCACTGGAAGCTGGATCCTGGTCTTGGGTCCAGGGTGGGTGGAAGACAGCGAGACCCCATCCAAGCTGTAACGTTGGAAGTCAGGACTACGGTGCTGATGGTGTCTGGTAGAGTGCTTGGAAGTGGTAGTAGTTACTAGGAAGCAGTGATTGGTGGAGGCACCCAGTCGGGGTGCCAGGTGGTCCATCACACATGGCATTACAGAGCTCCATGCAGCCGCATTGCCAAGCAGTTTCACTAACTGTCTACTAGCTTGCCCTTCTATCAGAATGTCCACCATTCATACGAACGTTCTCTCACGTGCTCAACTTACATTAAACCTCATCTTTGTCTCCTTTCAGTTTCCACAGTTCCACAGACTCCATACTCACCAAAGTTCCAACTGACTTACTCTCAAGTGCTCAAACCTCAGTAAACAACATCATTGCCCCATTTCTGTTCAAAGACTCTTGTGTCACCAATGCTCTTTCCTGCCTCCACCGGGTGACATACACAGCTTTCAGCTACTCGTCCACTCCGGAACTTCCAAGCTGCGCTAGTCCAGCCGATGTTACCTCCTGTTCTCTGTTGTCTAAAGTTGATCTACTACACCCTTCATATTGCAGGAGACCCTTAAAGGAGGTGTTAACTCCATTGTGTATGAGCTCAGTTGTCACAGTCGGTGCCAAGAGTGATAAAGTAAAGTCATTTAATTCACTGTTTAAACTATTTGATCTTCAATTATTGCACAATATTACACCTTCTTTCACTATCAGTATTTTTCTGTGTGTGGAGGCTGTGAAGATACTGTTGGTGTGTGTGGTGGCTGTGTTTGTTATGTGTATAGGATGACTGTGTGAGCTGTATGTGTTGTGTGTAAGCTTGTGTGGTGGGGGACCGTGTGTGCGGAGAGGCGTTCTGATGGTGTTCCTGTGGGAAGAGATTGTGGCTGCAACTCCAGGAGTGGAACTCCTAAATGATTTGTTCACCGAACTCCGGAACCGCGAGGGAGTGTTTGATCTCTAACTGGTCATGGGTCATCTGGCAACATCAGGCAGCATCCAGAGTCAAATGCCAATCATCTGCCCCTTTCTCTCTACTGGTGGTTTATCTCCTACCCCACTGATATAAGTATAATAGTCACCATACATCTGTCAAAGAAAGAACTCATTCGTATGAACTGTCAGGAATGTAAAGTGAATTTGAAATTGTATTCCAAAAGAGCTGAACTAAAACAAAGCTGACTGTCTAACACCACTGTGCTGAGGGGAAGACACTTCATCAAAGTGCCCACTGGCACAAAATGTGTTAGATTGTCTGTCTGTTTGTCTTGCTTGTGCTCCCCTGTTGATTACAGCCTTTGGATGGCACAAGAATACATTCTGTTTATACTCTTCCTCTGACTGAGCCTTTGTCATTCACAAATGGGATCCGGCTTATATTCATTCATTAACTGCAAAGGAAGAGATCCAGCATCTTTGCCTCTTGGACTCCTGGTACACATCCAAATTGGACCTGGTATTCATAATGTGCCAAAATATTTTCCAGACGTCTACCATTTAATGTGTGCCTGTAATGTAATAATATCTAATCAGTGCAGGGTGACTCAAATATCAGGACCACTCAAATACCTGCTAGATGCTGCAATATGTGTTAATGTATTGAAGATGTCGGCTTAAGGTAAGAGTAACACAATAGGTTATTCCCAAACTGACGATACACCATTGTATGCAAATGAACATTTCACTGAAGCATTCAGTGGCCCTAGTCTCCAGCAAGTCCAAAAATTAGCAGGCGATGGGAATCTGAAACAACACCGGGAGAACAGTATCCCTGTTGTTCTATCCAAGGCAAGCTGCAATGTCGTCCTCTTTTCTAATGCAGTGCGACCACAATATTTTTACGTAATGGAGACCCATGCTGCTCCCTATACAGACCCTATTAGTCCTACTCTGGCATGCGTAGCTCTGCTGTGTGATAGTATAAGGACAGGATGCCATTTTATTTGTGTTCTATCACACAGCACGGTTTCATTATGCCCTTAGAACTGTAGTGACAGAGGACCATGCATGAAGCATCACTAGACTCAGGCATTACAAACCACAGTGAGGCAACACAGTTGGTCCATGACTGCTATTAGACCACAACGATAAGACAGGTTAAGTAAAAGGTGTAAGTGTAAGTGATATTGGTAGAGCGTGAGTAAGGTGTCCTTCTTGTGGTTCTGTCTAGTTACTCTCTACTCTCTGACCGTGTTGGCTAAAGTAGTGGTTATGGTGTAAAGAGTCCCTCAGTGCCATCCCATAGTTAAGAATCAAATTGTTCTCTAATGATTTAAAGGTTATATGGGAACGCAAGGCACCCATGATCCAGCCTCTCTTCGCAGATATAGCTTAAGTAGAAGTTCCCTTTCTGCATTAGATGTTTGTATGTTTTATCCCTGGTAGGACTCATTTCGTAGGCTCAGAGCATCAGCTTACACACCTTGCTAATGATGTCTAGTAACAGGACTAGTATTTTGGATTGCATCCCTCACTAAAGCTATCACACAGCAATCTACTGGCAACAAAGATACAGTCCAGCTAATTACAGAGAGTTATATATATAAAAAGACCACTTCTAGCAAACCTGAACAGTGCTCAGATCACCTACAGCTGGAAGGAAAAGGCCTTATGCATGTCTGAGTTTCTGCAAGGTAGACTATGGAGGAAACTATCTACCCTTAATACTGGACACTATAATTGCATTGAATTTGAACCCCTTGCATATTTTTAAACTATATATCTCTAACCACCATTTCTTTGTCATTGTATCTTAACTGGACGTGCTTGCTCTTTAGTGTGTGTGTGTGTGTATGTATATATGTATATGTATGTATATATATATATATATATATATATAAAATATATTTATATGTGTGTGTGTGTGTTTTCTCATACACACATATATTCTGCAGTTTGTCTTGTCCTGCATGCTAAAGCTAGTTGCTCCCTGCCCTTCTCAACATTGGTTTTGTTAACTTAAATGTTATTCAACATCCTGCTTATCTCTAAAGATTTTCTCTGTTATTTCTTCTCCCCCCCCCCTTATTTTATTGATACCCACCCGAATGTCTTGCTTGACCAATCCTCACCTCCTCTGTGCATCTCCATTCCATAGCTTTTATTGCAGTCCTGTTTTGACCCTATCATCTCTGTCTTCCACAGTCTGAGTTTTAAAAGACCACTTCTAGCAAACCTGAACAGTGCTCAGATTCCCGCCCTCCCCTCACCACGTTCCTTACTACATTTATAGATAGAATCCCACACACAACTTTAGTTAATTCCAAATAGCAGCTGCAAACACTACCCATAATGAGCACAATCCACCTTCTTAACCCCTAACACTCACTCCCTCTCCTCCCTTATGTTCATGCTCCTTCCCTCTAATTACCTACCTATCAGAGCAATGCTCTATATTCTCCTCCTCTCCTTCTCTCTCATCTCCCTAAGGATCAAAATATCCCCTTCCACCCACTTCCCTCAACAAAACACTAACATTTACATTAATCCCTCTCTGCTACACTCCCCCCTTCTCTCATCTCAAGCCCTGCACTCTTTTCTCTATTCTCTCTCTCCTGCTCTAACCCAATCTCACCCTAGTCGCCGCGCATATAAAACCCACTCACACCTCCTGTCTCTATCTCTCCTCCTACTTCTGGCAGCTGGTGACGTCTCTCCCAACCCGGGGCCCCTCACCTCATCTGCTCACACTAAAATAACCAGAAACCATGCAAACCTCCTCCAAATACCCTGCAGTCTATCCTCCTCTACCAAAATTCAGTGTGCACTCTGGAATGCTCGCTCCATTTGTAGTAATATCAAATCTACAGCAATACATGACCTCCTCATCTCTAACTCTCTCACAATACTGGCACTAACTGAGACCTGGCTATCTCCATCCGATACCGCTACTCCTGCTTCTTTATGTTTCGGTGGTCTACAGTTCTCCCATACTCCTAGACTTGACTGTAAAGGAGGTGGTGTCGGCATCCTTCTCTCCCCTCAATGTACCTTTCAACCTATCCTCCCTGCCCCTGCCCTATCCTTTACTTCCTTTGAAGTTCACACTGCACACCTTTTTAAGCCCACTCCTTTAAGAATTGCCATCATCTATCGCCCCCCCGGTCACCCTAAACTATTCATTGAACACTTTTCCTCCTGGTTACCCCACTTTCTTTCCTCTAGCACTCCCTCTCTCATACTTGGGGACTTTAATATCCCTATCAACAAGCTCAATTGCCCTGATGCTTCTCGTCTCCTCTCTGTAACCTCCTCCTTTGGACTCACACAGATTTCTTCCTCAGCAACTCACACTGCAGGAAACACTCTTGACCTCATCTTCACCAATCTCTGTACTACCTCTGATCTCGCCACTGCTCCATTTCCTTTGTCTGACCACCATCTGCTAACATTTAACATCTGCATACCCCAGACCAAAATCTCACCACCGTCCACTCTCCAACCTCGCAGAAACCTCAACTCTCTCGATCTCCAGGACTTCTCCAGTAAACTCCAAACACTCCTTTTACCCATCTCAAATCACAACTGCCCTAACTCTGCAACCTCACTCTACAACTCCACTCTCTCCTCTCAACTTGACATCATGGCACCTCCTACAGTTAAACGCAGCAAGCGCCCCCAACTACAACAATAGCACACCAAGCTGACCCGTTACCTCCAAAAATGTTCCAGAACTGCTGAACGCTGCTGGAGAAAGTCTCACTTTGCATCTGACTTTGTCCACTATAAATTTATGCTGCGCTCCTACAGCATGGCTCTTTCCTCTGCAAAAGTAAGCTACTTCAGCACCCTCATAAGCACACTGTCCCAACAAACCCAAACACCTGTTTCACACTTTTGATGCACTTCTTCGCCCTGTGACTCCCCCTCCTTCCACCACCTTGTCCGCCACAAACTTTGCATCTCATTTCACTGAGAAGATCTCTACAATCAGGAAAGAGATTTCTAATCTTTCTAATCTTTCTCCGACCATTATCAATACATCACCCAACCCCACTCCCCCTGTCATCCTAAGCTCATTTGCACCTGCTACAGCACAAGAGGTTTCTGCTCTGCTCCTGTCCTCCCGCCCCACCACCTGCTCCCTCGATCCTATTCCCTCGCATCTCATCCGCACTTTGTCTCCCTCTCTTGCTCTTCCTCTCGCTAACATTTTCAATCTCTCCCCTTCCTCTGGCACATTTCCCTCTGCCTTCAAACATGCAACCGTAACCCCAATTCTGAAAAAGCCCAACCTCGATCCCAACTCCCCATCCAACTACCGCCCTATCTCACTACTGCCATTTGCCTCCAAGATCCTTGAGAGAGTTGTCTACGCCAGATTGACAGACTTTCTTGAATCCAACTCTCTGCTTGACCCCCTTCAGTCTGGATTCCTGCGCTGGTCACTCTGTCGAAACTGCTGTGACCAAAGTATCCAACGATTTAATTGCTGCTAAATCTCGCGGCCAATACTCTATCCTAATCCTCCTTGATCTTTCTGCAGCCTTTGACACTGTTGATCATCAACAGCTTCTTCACATTCTCCGTAACTTTGGTCTACGGGATACTGCTCTCTCCTGGTGCTCCTCCTACCTCTCCCAGCGCTCCTTCAGTGTTTCTTTCTCTGGCTCTGCCTCTTCTCCCCAACCCCTCCCTGTCAGCGTCCCCCAAGGTTCTGTCCTCGGCCCCCTACTGTTCTCTATCTATACTGCCTCCCTTGGTAAACTCATCAGCTCTTTTGGCATCCAATACCATTTATATGCAGATGACACGCAAATCTACCTGTCCTCCCCTGATCTCTCTCCGCCCACCTTGACTCGTGTTTCTGACTGCCTCTCTGCTATTTCCAACTGGATGGCTGCTCACTTCCTTAAACTCAACCTGTCCAAAACAGAACTTCTAGTTTTTCCTCCCTCAAGTGCTGCTACTCCTGTGTCTGTCGCCATCCAAGTCAACGGCGCTACTATCACCTCTACCTCCCAGGCTCGCTGCCTAGGAGTTCTTTTTGATTCTGATCTCTCTTTTACTCCCCATGTTCAATCGATAGCCAAATCCTGTCGCTTCCAACTTAAGAACATAGCGCGCATCCGCCCATATCTAACGCCGGACGCGGCTAAGGTACTGGTTCATGCTGTTGTTCTCTCTCGCCTTGACTATTGCAATCCCCTTCTCACCGGTCTTACATGTTCCCAGCTTGCACCGCTGCAATCTATAATGAATACGGCTGCGAGGCTTATTTTCCTGTCCGGTCGCACCTCCCACGCCTCCACGCTCTGTCAGTCCCTGCATTGGCTTCCAGTTAGATATAGGGCCCAATTCAAAATTCTGGCGCTTGCTTACAAATCCCTACATAATGCTGCTCCAACATACCTATCTTCCCTCATACACAAGTATGTCCCGACGAGACCCCTGCGCTCAGCCCAAGACCTACTCCTATCCTCTGCCCGGATCTCCACCTCTGATGCTCGCCTTCAAGACTTCTCCAGGGCTGCACCTATTCTGTGGAACTCCCTTCCCTCCTCAATCAGACTTTCACCCAGCCTCCATTCCTTCAAAAAATCTTTGAAAACTCACTTCTTTATTAAAGCGTATCAATTAAACTGTCAGCAGGTTTCTCATCCCCCACCCCATGACTCCGTTCCTTCACCTGTCAAAAATGACCTACCAAGCACTCAATAAGCCCTTCTGTAACAAACTATTTAATTCCCCTACTTTAACCCTTTGTGTCACTATACCCCACTCCCTCTAGCATGTAAGCTCATCGAGCAGGGCCCTCAACCCCCTCTGTTCCTGTACGTCAGTGGTCTGATCTCAATTATGTGTCTGTTAGTCCACCCATTGTACAGCGTTACGGAATTTGTTGCCGCTATATAAATAATAAAATAATAATAATAATAATATATATATATAAACACAATATTGTAAATCCTATGCAGGTATTGCAGAACTCAACAAGCCATAAAATACATAAAACCCATATATAAGAGATATGTGAGGTTTCACGGCATGTCTATATATCTCCCATATTGAGTGAAGTCACAGGGTATTCAACAGTGTCCTACACCTGTAACAACCCACAGGGGCTGTGTTTGGTCCTGGAACTTAGTTGCAGTAACAGCTCTCCCTTACAAACACGACCCACAGAGATTGTGATTGTGAGAACAGGATTCTGTTAGGTCAGTGATGGCACAACCGCCATCATAAATTAATGTAGTGGCCGCCGTGAGTTTCCCCGCTCGCAGATCGAGGTGCAGAGGCTGCTAGTTGGAGTGCAGGAGCCACAGGCACCATGCCTGTCACAGACCAAACTCCAAGATGTATTGGGATCCCCGGGACAGGTAAGTACCGGCGGTTTATGTGACAACACCAGAGGGCACTAGGGAATGACCCAAAACTACGCAGCATGAGCACATAAAAAAATAAATCCTCGCTGTGCTGAATAACCTCAGGGCAATGAACCCCTGAACTGGGCTAGTATTCATATAAATCACAACTTTTTGTAGCACCTAGACATGTATTCATAAAATCTTTGCAAACTAATTCTCAATTCAAAAACAGAAAAACAAAACTCAGACCCCAATACTATGTAATTTACTAAAACTAAATTAAATACATTTTTGAGAATTCCAGTAAACTTATTTCAACTTGGGATTTATTTTGCTTGTGTCATTATAGGATTTATTCCTTTTTCCTGGGCAAGCAGATCTGAGCATTTTCTATCTTTCGTTTTGATATAATTTGGGCCTGGCCCCTGAAAAGTGATCCCAGCGGATGTGATAACTGAACTGCTTCACAGTAAGGATGGCAGGAGCAGCGAGCAAGCATCACTGCAGCTGATTAATGGCCTTGAATAAACCACGAGACCAAATCAATTGTTCCGGCCAGTAGGGAAAAAGCACAATAGTTTATACAATGCGCAATGGCACAGACCAATTGCCCCTGTCACTGCCCGTCTTGTTCATTTCATTTAGAGCTTGTGACAGCGCGTTGTAAGTCTTCTTGTCCTCAAATGCCCAATTTCACATCGTCCGACTCATGGGGACAGCTCCACTGAGACTGTGTTTTCCTGATGTCAAAATGCAGGGACGTTATTTAAATATATTACTCAAAATATGTGCATAGTATTACAGAGAGAACACCTCTTACTCAACTCTCATAGCTACAACCTCATACCTGTTGTCATGAATTTATGCAGCTGAAACTCTTATGCCAACCAAATAGCACATGCTGGTGCAAATAATATAATAAAATATATCATAACTGAAAAAAAAAAATTCTTAATAATATGTGTCGCTGGGCATCTTGCATATCAAAATATATGCAATAATAATAATAAAAAATTGAAGATCCAGCATTAAGGTAATTAAAAAATGATACATTAACATGTATATCCATATATCATAAATTGAGCAAGGTTTTCCAGTGGCCGTAATGTTTGTCAGTGAGTCTGGCAGGTGAAGTCATCTGCGCTCATCAAAATTCTGTCTAAAAGGCAGCCGTGTTGGTTGTATTTGGAAGAATGGCTGGGAAGGAATATCCCAAAGCAAGACTCTTGAGCATGCAGTTGTCTTTAAAGGGCCACTATAATTTCCAAGGATTTTTAATGTTTATTTATCTACTATATTTTACAAATATGTTTGTGAGTTCTGAAAAATAAAATGTAGAAATCCACACAGTGGTATTGCCATGAGCAATATCCTAGAACTGGGTGACTCCATAAAAACTACGGCGGTCTCCAGCTGCTGCTAATAACAATTCCCACAATCTTTAGCTTTACAGAGGCCATGTATACTAAAGTACAAGATTACTAGGGTTTTTTTGTTGCAATTTAACTGTAAGTTTGGCAAATGAACCTATGGTGGTGAAACCATAACTGAAATCGACAATAGAAAATAAAAAGACAGGACATTAAAGGAACACTATAGTCACCTAAATTACTTTAGCTAAATGAAGCAGTTTTAGTGTATAGATCATTCCCCTGCAATTTCACTGCTCAATTCACTGTCATTTAGGAGTTAAATCACTTTGTTTCTGTTTATGCAGCCCTAGCCACACCTCCCCTGGCTATGATTGACAGAGCCTGCATGAAAAAAAAAACTGGTTTCACTTTCAAACAGATGTAATTTACCTTAAATAATTGTATCTCAATCTCTAAATTGAACTTTAATCACATACAGGAGGCTCTTGCAGGGTCTAGCAAGCTATTAACATAGCAGGGGATAAGAAAATCTTAATTAAACAGAACTTGCAATAAAGAAAGCCTAAATAGGGCTCTATTTACAGGAAGTGTTTATGGAAGGCTGTGCAAGTCCCATGCAGGGAGGTGTGACTAGGGTTCATAAACAAATGGATTTAACTCCTAAATGGCAGAGGATTGAGCAGTGAGGCTGCAGGGGCATGTTCTATACACCAAAACTGCTTCATTAAGCTAAAGTTGTTCAGGTGACTATAGTGTCCCTTTAAGAACTTTTGCCCCACTGTCAAAGATGAATGATACCAGATATTTCTTCTACAATGATAGGCATTCTTCAAGACACTCAGTCCTGGGATTTTAAAGTGAATCTGTCAAGGAAAGTTCAATATCAGTTGTAGCAGCTCCCAAGGCAGTAAATATATAATTTAGCATAAAAATAAATAATACATTTATTGGCTTATGAGCTGTTGGAACATTACTTACCTGCTGTCCCTTACTCCAAATTCCCAAAGGGTCCAAGTTTGTAACTCTGTTGTAACACCCATCCTCCGCTGCCCCCCTTCACCGATGATGGTGGGTTGCTGGTTTCAGTGTCAGAATATTCTATACTCCCCTTGCAAGCATGTAAAACACTTGCTGGGGGAGAAGCACAGTGCCAGGGAGCAGAGGATTGCCTAGAGGAGGGTGCTTTTGCCCATCACTGTCACTCAGTCCTCAGCTTGACCCTCTGTGCCACAGGCACCGTAGAGATAAAGTTAACCCCCACAGTGCCACTGGCACAGAGAAGTCTATGCCAAAGATTGATTGACAGGTGGGGAGGATCTATATTTTTAAAGAACATTAAAATGCTATTATTTTGGATAGCACAATCTATAGAATAAATTACCTGCTCTTTGATGTAAGCCCAAGTTGTGCTGAGCATTTCAGTTATACTTTAAAGGGGGGCATACAGTCTTCACTTTTACCTGCTATTGTCTCATTTTCTAACCAATGAGCAAATTGGCTACCATATAGGTGGAACGGCAAAGTGGCTGGCCCTCCCATTGACTGCAGCAATGAAGAGCCATGTGCAATACATTTGCCAGGAGAACATTTAGGAAGCAATTGTAATTGTTGACCCATTTTCATGTCTCAACAGTGTTATTTTGTAAATATCTTCTGTTTTCACCTGCACATTTCCGCTGAAAAGATTTTCTCTAAACCCATCACTTTTTTAGTCTTTAGTCTCACGATATACTTAAACATGTATTGGTAGAATTAATTTTCAGGACGCAACCTCTTCTAGTAAGTAAACTTAAACTTCACTCCTTGATTTTGTCAAATTCTACTGTACTGATATTTAAGACCTGCTGTTTAGTAAAGACAATTTAATCCCAGTTTAATATTCTACTAAATCCGTGTCTGCTATGAGATTTTGTCATTTAAGCACAGCATTCACCATACAGATATCTTCCACGTACCAAGCTTGCGAACTACAGGCCACATGGATGGTGGTTGCTAGGTAACTGAGGAGATACTGATTTGGGAAGGATTCCCGAGTGATACAGGTATCCTATCCCATCACTGGTTACCATGGAGATCGGGGCGATAGAGAGCAGGGATGTATTGGTTTCCTTTTTTCTTTTTTTAAATTATTTTTATCACATGTTTGGAAGCAGGATGTGAGATAGGGAGAGAGTGAGAAAAGAAGGCGAATAATGGGCGAAAGATAAATGAATGAAAGGGGATGTGTGGGTAGATGAGTGGAGTACAGAGGGGGGAGATATTGTTATAAGAAAGAATGGAATTGAACGCAGGTCATCTTTAATACAAAAAGCGTGAAAGGAATGATTGAAAGAATGGTGGTGAGGTAGGGAATAAAAAGGAGAGGATGCACAGTTCCCAGCAGATTATTAAATGGTGATGGTGCAAACAGCTTCTATGACAGCTTTTATGATTCATAAAGTTATTCCAGGGTACAGGAAAAAACACCTCTACCCCAAAAAACAA